CGCACATTCCGTAAGACGTTTCCCAATGAAACGTTGGAGAAGGGACCTGTTCTCAGATGAGTCCAGGTTTTCGCTTTACCGGGCAGACGGCCGACGTCGTGTCTACAGATGTACCCACGAGCGCTATGCTTGCGTGATAGAGAATGACCGCTTTGGAGGAGGATCGGTCATGGTATGGGGAGGGATTGCGAATGGTATCAAGACTCCTCTAGTCGTTATTCAGGGAAATCTCACGGCCGTCCGCTATAGAGATCAAGTCCTAGCGCCGCATGTTGTTCCTCTAGTACAGCAGCGTCAACTGACGTTTCAGCAGGACAACGCCCGGACGCATGTAGCGAGGTTTTGCCGTGGTTATCTCGCAGCAAACAATGTCCCCATCTTAGACTTGCCCCCTTACAGCCCTGACCTCTCCCCAATAGAGCATTTATGGGACGAGTTGGACAGAAGGATAAGACGTAACTCGAATCCTCCAATCAACGTCGCTCAGTTGGCGATGGCGCTGGATGAGGAATGGAATCGTATACCAATGAAGAGGGTTAATACCCCGATCAATTAAATGCACAAAAGAGTTCGTGCATTTACTGCAGTTCGTGGAAGGCACACACGATATTCTATTTCCCGTAGTTGACCTGGAAATTCCTAATTGCGTTTCCTTTTCCTCTCAGTATATTAAGAGACTTTTAGCATTGGCATGTGGATCATATAACAATAAAAAGTATAAATATCACGCCCTATTTTCTATAAATAGCAAAATAGATTTGTATTTCAACATTAGACGTGTGGTATAGTTGGAAAGACGTGTTTTTCCTTGTTTTGAATATGAAGATTTTAGATGGGTTTAACCAGGATTTCCCCACAGGTTTTTCACTACTGACATTTTTATCCGCATTTTATCTCATTTGTCTACTGAATACAATCTGTAACTATTACTACGTTAATCTGTATATAGCTGTATCATTGACATGTTCAATTATGATTTGACACGTCATATAGAAATCATACACATATAAGGTAATATATATCATCGCCTTATAGCTGTCTGCTCCGGTGGCACAATCGGTTAGCGCGCCGTACTTATAGACAGTACCTTCCCTGTGCTGGACACAGGACGAGGAATGCGGAGGTTGTGAGTTCGATCCTCACCCGGAGCAGTGGTCATTTTTATTGAAAATATAGTTTCACTATAATAGATTGAATTTCACTGGAAGCATTAGAGCTAGATTATTTTTATAACATAAACGAATAAATAATATTATAAAATATGCGTGTATATATAACGTCTCGTCACAAGGAACAATTTAATATTAATGTAAAATATATGATTTAATGAAATTTTGACAAGTTGACAATATTAGATCAAGGAAATGTAAAACTTAATCATTTTTTGTTTAAATTATGATTTTTTTGTATAAATACTGCATGATAATGATAAGATATTAGTATTTGGGCACTTAAGCACCGCCTCCCACCCCCAATCCCAACACATCTCCACCAACAAACCTCCTATTGTACTCGATATCCGAACTATACTTTTTTCTTTGTAGTAAAAGACTTCAAAGTTAGATTACTGTTCCTGGTGCGTGTCATTGCGTCTGTGAGTTTTTATGTGTGAGAATGTTTTAACCTTTCAGCGGAAGTAAGTACACGTAGAGGTGTGATAAAAACACAGATTCACACGTTAAAGCTGTATCCGGATAAAAGGTCCTGTTTGAACTGAGTCATTTTATCGTTTAATCCAAATTTTAGATTTCTTTAAAGCTGTTTTTTTTTTTTCATTTGATGTTAGCAAAACACTTTTTTTGCCAATGTACAAAAAATTATATTGATAAATATACAGTTTTTAGAATCACAAAAATAAATATTACTTATTAGTTACAAGTTATTGATAATATGATACCTATATTACAACTTACATCTCTTCTATCTAAGTTGTTGAATTTCACATGAATATAATTCATGAGTATGAAAATCTGTTTGAATCTTATGTACTCAGTCAACCATCGACCAGAAGCACCAGATACATAACGTCGTGACAGAATGAAAGTTTGAGGCGGAAGTTGGTATAGATAATAGGCAGGAATTGATCACGTGCGGGAAGAAAGAGATTATATATCCTATATATACAGTGACTTAACTGAAGATGATATTATAGTTATAATTAATTTTACACCTGTTTACAATAATCCTAAAGTTTCGGATACAAATATTTCAATAAAGTCAGTTGAACTAATAAGTCCCTATCAAGTCTATACGAGTCTAAATATAGATATTTTTGTTGACTAAACTCGCTATAGGCTGCATGACTTAGTCATAAGACTTTTTTCATTATAATTTTATCTATTTTTTTTAATTATTATTTTCTTTTTTTTTTTTTTTTAATTTTTTTTTTAAGTTGAATGTTACCTTGAAACCTAGGACGATGGATACGGGCGGGACATTAACTTAACAAAAACTACACAATTGTCTTCTGATGTATATTCATTTCATGACCATTATGTGCGCAACTTCCTCTCGCAATCGAATCGCATTTTGTTGCATTTTAAGCGCTTTGAACTCGATAAAGATTTTCTATAACTTTTCTTGATTTTGAATTCAAATTATCACAAAACAGTATCATTCATCATCTTTGACGGATAAATTTATATTCTTCAAAGATACCAATTTAAATTGAGAATTACATTTTGCCTGATGGCCCCCATTAACTCAGTGCTAAACTGGATCGTATTCACAGGAGTATAGATGCAGTCTGGACCACTAGACAATAACATGACGTCATTTTGACGCCAGCTGATCGACGTTACGTCAACGCTTTGCACTTCGTCTCAGATAATACGCGTTATATATAGCTTTACGTTAATCATTTAGCTGATTACGATTTTCAAAAAGACTTCATATTCCCATAGAGCAAAATAAACAATTCTAAAAAACACACACACAAAATGTTTTTTTTTAACTACGGGGTATGATATCCAATATGTAAATATATTGAATAACCCTTGAACGTATGTCAGATTGTATTTAATATCACTATGAATGTAATCTGGGTGCCAGATAAAAAAAAAAAAAAACCCAGCGGACGTCATTCTATATTTCTGTCACTAATATTGCATTCATATTGACAATAAATACGATCTGAACGACGCACAGTGGTTAATTAAGAGAGATATGATTTTGACTCTGAAGATGTTTTGAAATACACCACATCGAAAGAAGAAACTCCACAATACAAGCTGTTATGAGGGGTTAAACAGGTACACGAGAAAACACAAGTCTCCATTGTCGGCTTATACATTTTAAAACATTCCTGCTCGACTTTTAAGACCCATATTAGAGCTTAAAGCCCCCTTGCAGCGAGCGATAAAGGACTGGATACAATTCACTATACAGTGATAATGGAACAGACCTGAGGGAAGGGTCATCCCAATCGCCATACTAACATTTGAGGTAAATGGGAGAGGTGGTAGTTTTATGTAAATACAATGTTTCGCCTCGTGAGCACGTCGCGACAAAGCTGAATACTCAACAGGTGGTAAACGGAATCTTACGGGTAATCACAGGTAAAAAAAAGCATTAAGATAAAATTTAATTCGAAAAGGTTCCATCTGGTTACCGGGTAGTATTCACTTATCACGATAGTCGATTTAAAACAACAAAAGCCTTAAAGTCGAAAACATTTTCAATCTAAAGATGTCGCGTACGTTTTTTTGTAACAGTACCCGATCTCCGACTCAACAGGTCGTGTAATTTGGTTAGAAGTGCTATCGCACAATGAGGAAGGTATTTAATTTCTCGTATTGTACTACTACTGAACAGTAAAGAAAATATGTTATTAAGATTTTCTCAACAACAGTATACATAGAGACCCGTCTCTTATTTCGTCCAATATATTCTATTTCTTCTTGTAATTATTGAAAATATCATAATTGAAGTCATGATTAATTCCAAAGTCAGATTTCCCTAGGGAGATATTGATGTTTTAGAAATCTCCTATTTCACGGTATTTTCATGTGAATATTTCACGCACTGGAGTTACCCCCATATGGTCTTTGGGGTAAAGGTAGTACCATTCTCGTGAGCTGCGTTGTCTTCCTCATTGCCGTGTCCGTGGCCGAGAAGGACATTGCTGATGAGTGGCGTCTCGGTTTTTTCCCCAATGTGGTTTCCCTAACCTGATTTTATGGTTAACATCAAACGTGTTCTGTAGGTACAGTCAATTCATTAGGAAATTCTACTTCCCAAAAGCATGCAAAAAATAGCAACTATACCAGTATTTGTGTTTTAGAGGATTCAGCATTGTCTTACTCCCCCTGCATTGAAACCGTTTTCAAGTTATACACATACAATTTTCGTTATGTTTAAAGTCCGACAATGTGTAAATAATAAAACAACAAGAAATCATTTCATTGATTTGTTTTTAATTATACGATAATCATTTTATCACAGAAATTTTAAATTAAAATAAATAGTACGAGTAGCTGAAAATGTAATGTCCTATCTCGGAGTATGTACTTTAAACAGAATTAAATTAAAATTAGATAATTTACATATTGACAAAGACTTTTATAACTTCTAAAACTAGGTGGAAACATATCTAACTTCAAAGAAAACACTTAAAACTACAAGTATCAAAATAAATTATATACATATATAATCGCTTGAAATACACTCAGAACTACATATCAAAATAAATTAATTTTCAACCAAACGTTTATACATTAAAAATGAAATCATGAAGGCTTTCTCGCCGCATGATATTGAAATATCAAAAACTGAAATATCAAAATAAATATAACCGTGAATTATTGAGCATTAGAATAGAAACATAAAATCATGAATGCCGTCACGAGGAAGCATTTAGAAATCAACACAAGGATTGTCCATTTTTTCCGACAGAGTTCATTGTTAATCACGACACTGAAGGAACGATGCATCAATCACGTATAACACTGGACTACCACATGGACAGTTTTCATGCAAAACCTTCATGCAACTTTGATGAACCTTCCAAAATGGGTTGGGAATTGACTCAATCTGCAAAGACAAAAAAAGAAGACCTTTTACTTCCAGTTAATGTCACCTCATTTTGACAGTGTACACACTTTAATTTAAAAAGTTTATCTGAACAGTGGACGTTTCAATTGAAATATAAACTCGATGACTTGATCAGTTCTGTATCAATATACAATACGAACAGAAATTATTGATTTTCCATTTTTTTTTTTTTTTTTACAATTCAATTGTAATAATCTTACCTCTTTCTTTGTCATAATCTGCAAATATGACGTCACTAACGTCTCGGGCGCCTGCGCCTCATCTCTTCAGTCTCGTGTTTGGTCCATGTATGTGGTTGAGAGACAGTTTTTTTTTTTAATATCACAGAATGCTTCAGCACTATTTTGTTGTAGAAAGTCAATAGTTTATTTCTTCTGACCAAGGAGAGCATCCTTTGGTTCGATGTACTGATTGTTGATATAAATGTTTGGACTTCCCATCACAATCGGTCCATCGTCCTCGTACACAGGCGTCAGGGATGTCTGGCAACCCATCAGCACATCAGGAGACGCCGTTACCAAGGTATTACGGTACTTGTTGCTTCCGTGACAGGCTTGCTGAGATATTGTGATGTATTCTGTAAAACATAAAAATTTGATTCGTTTTACATTTAAGAATGACTCACTACCTACTTATATTTTATTTAACAGATAGGTCTTTCTGCCCGAAGGACCTAACATATAATGGATTTAACTGTAAATACAAATAGAAAATTGATTTTATCACGAGTCGCTAAAATGTAAACTTCACTGAAACGTACTCGTCTACATTAGCGAGCACTCGAGGAATTTTAAACACCAAATTGGTTGATGAAACGATATCTCCTCTTTATTTTACGTTTAGGAATGCGGTCTTCACAGAAATGTATGTTTCTGAATATTCTGTTTGTAATATATATAGAATTTCAGGAATTTGAACAGGTACTCGTCTCCTTTCTAATGATATAATTACCCAATGACAATGTTTACCATGGTTAGATTGTAAACCATACTCGGTCACTTCTTTAAACAAAGCGATTTGTCAAACTTTTGTATTGCCGTTAGGTAGTAATCCCTAAAAATATGTAAAATGTTCCGTCAAAACCGCACTCTTTCATTTAAACCCCAAAAGAATGTTGCTGGTGTTCACAAACGGGGAGACCAATTAGTTTCACAGAGGGGAACAATGCCCTTTATATTCGTTTACCTTGTGGACAAAACAGGTGAAAAACTCCAGTAAAGCGATTCTGTGAGGTAATCATTATGGCTAAAGTTGATTGTCACATTACAAAGACGACTGATAACAATAAGCACGATATATTACAACGATTGATTGCAATTCTAGGTGATCTATCGGTATGTGAATTCATAAATCTAATTTCGGATATAAAATCCTGTTAGGGTATTTTTCTGCTTACAGGAAGGCTCCGCTCCCCAAACCGGCTATACGAGACTCGTGCACGTTTCCTTGATTTCAAAATATAAGCTTTATAAATTGTATAGATTTATTTTCTCTCTTTATGTCGCTACAAATGGTTGAAATTTACCCCCTCCCCCGATCCATAACAACACATCGGTGTAAATATTTCTACATCATAAATCTTTCCTAACTTCTAGCTTGGTTTTACGGCATTGTATTCCATTTTAAAAGCACATTATTTAAACAACACAATATTATCTTTGACAGTGATCTTTCAAGTTCGACCGTTAGTCACTTGAATGTTGAAAAATTCAAATATCAAGTTTAAAATCATGATAACGAAGTTTTATCTCTAAACAAAAGCTGCAGGTGTCGACTTTGGGGTAAAAAGAAATTGTGTATTATATACCTCTGGGAGTTAATTATGAACTGTTGTTGATTTTTGACGTGAAAATTTACGGTCTTAGAAACCGAAAGTTGAGATAAGATCGAGTGAAGTATTAAATGTCGCGACCCTGACAATATTACTACACACTGGTAGAATCGCTGTAAAATTTACCTAAGTGACGTCATTTACAGGTGTGTCGGCTTTATATCGAGTCTATAACTGTCAAATTTCTGCTGATACGGCTAACTTTCTGTGGTTGAAATGATACACTTATCTGTCTACGACAATTCTATCTAAAATCACGACCGAATTGAAGAATTAAGGATCGGCTAACAGATTTTCTTCAATTAACACCAACAATAGTCTTCAAAAAATAGAAATATTTTTACTTTTATTAATTTTTGAAAATGTCTTTAAGTTAGATTAGAATGCTCTTGTGAAAAAATATAATTACCTGGTTCACGAATGATCTCCTTGTCAGAGGCCTTCTTGCAGATGAAACAGGCAAAGATGATGTAGAGAGCGATGGCCAGAGAGACGAAACAGAGAATTCCCAATAAAACCATGGAAATCAGGTACCACTCGTCACTGATCTCGAAAAAAGTGCCGCTGTCACTGGCACGTGGGGAGATTGTAACATCTGCGCTAGCAGACGACAGGCTACTGTCTCTCGTAATCTGTACAAAGGCCCTATTGATGGAAGATTTGCCGGATTTCTCTTGAAACTGGAAAAATTCAGTAAATTTACCACACTTGGTGTTTTCGAAATAGCCACACGGGGTAAGAATGATGGTGTTGATAGGACACACGGCGCACGTGCGGCAATCTTCAGATTTCTTTTCGTAGTACATTCCATCTTCACACGGTTGAACATTTTTACCATACACATACTCCAAGGCACAAATGAAAATAGCACTTAGGGTGTAAACCTCCAACTTCATCTTGTAAAAATAGCGTAAAATCCTAGACTATCGGTTATAAATCAACCAGATGTAAAAGCTTATCTGAAAAGAAAGAAAAAGAGATAATTTAGCTATTTTTTCTCAATACGAACAAATCAAGTTTAGCATACAATAGGTACAAGCACTGCCAACTTCAATTTAAGTGAAAAATTGGTAGCGATTAAAAACAATAATGAAGATTGAACAATTGAAATTATATCACTTACCACTGTCAGTCAATCGGCAGACGATTTAGCACTGGACAGCTCGTGGATTGTAGTCAGCTTTATAGGCTATATGTGAGCGTGTTCAGTCGAGAAGTGCTACCCGAGTGACAAGTCTACACACGAATCGACGCTTATATCTACCTGGATCTAGGCCGGCAGCGAAGACACGCCCACAGATACTGATCGACCAATCAGAGAGCGGCATTTCTCACTTAGGCAAATTATTCATGCGGTAAGGTCAACACACGTTTCAGCACATTGTAAACAGACGATTCTTTCATTGATAAAATAATAAAGCCATTGCTTTGCCGAGTAAAGGTTATAAATTGATGAAATGAGTAAAGCAAAATTAAATAGCAAAGTGTCAAACTAAATTCTTTCGACTAAATGTTTTGAAGCTTCATCTAAAATCTACTGACTGAATTAAAATGTGCGGAAAGTTAGTCAGACAAGTACATAACAGGTGTTCAGCGACGAGCTGGAACAGGTAGCTCAGTGCTTTGTTTGAGGCAGAAAGTTATCCCTCTTAACACTCGAAAACAAGGAAACCATAAGAAACATGTCTGGAGCTGTCGTCTTTACAGACCTTAACGAAAGATGTACTATAAGAAATTATCAGACTGTTTCAACGTAGCTAATGATTAATAAATGACCTCATATAATGATGATAATTGATCTCGCTAAAACCTGACATTTATATTACCATATCGTAGTGTCCAAAGTAAGGACGTGGTTAAGATATGATCATGTCAGATCATCATTATCGTCTCCATTTCTCACAACGAAATGTAATTTATTAAGCTGGAGTTTTTACGTATGTTTCGTTAGATATCTATAACATCCACATATTTCCTCAGATTAGATAAATCTGTGTGTAGAGAATTATTCATTTAATGTAATGTCTAAATAGTTCAATTGACCTGTCCATATAAGGAAGACAAATTAAACTGTACACTAACCATATTTTATTTTACGTTTTCGTATGATTAAGTCAATGAAGATTGGACCTATATAATATATACCATCAGTAATATCAGTGTGAAGCTGGTGTAAGATCAGTCCAGGAAAGTGTTGACACACTGACTTTGGAATGTCATTGTACATATTTACTTTGATGGCAAGTAAAATCAAGAATGAAAATAAAATATTTCCAGTATAATAAACAGCGCTACTCAATTTCAAAGATTAATGTATGAATTATTACTTGTAGTATGTTTGTATTGAATGAATTCGGTGGGTTTCGCAGACGGTGGTGTCTTTGATGTCCTCGTTAAAAGTATCTTGAAAGTCGATTTCAGGAAGAGAAACAGAAACAGGCCCCAACGAAGTTTTATTACATCATAGTCGATGGAAGTGAACGTTTCTTGTTTATAGTATCGAGGTGTTTTTAATCTTAGTAGTTCCTTTAACCTTAATTTTGTCCTTTTGAATTAAACCAACTGTTACATCATGTTCATATTTCGCAGCTCACTAATCAACATTCAGTGTGGGTGGTATGGAGATTATCATCAAACGTATACTTGAAATAATTCAATTGGAGTGAAATATCAACATATCTGTAGATATATCCTTTGTACTTATCATAATAGCCCGATGTTGGATGTTTAGTAGCCATATTTTGTACTTTTAACTTAATCTATCTCAGAGGGTAAATGTATAAGGGTCATTGCATCTGTATATATAAAATGGTCAATGAGATTATAAAACTATAAATGTTAACATAGTACCATGTAAAATGATTGTTTTCCACGAGATGTGTTTAAAAAATGTTGTAATAGTTGTTTCTCCTGATCTTTTACCGCCAGCACAAAGTAAAAGAAACAGTAGAGTTAATATCAGTTTAATCAACTTAGACCTATTAACAATTGCTGCACGAATCTCCAATAAACGGCACCACATTTCAAACAGCTGACACAAGATCGGTCATGACCTCTCCTTGGAAAATGTAATACTTTGTTATGATGTATCTTTTTGCCCGTGACGAAGAGATATATAAATTACAAAAGTATAACTCTGTTGAAAACAAATAATCGATCAGATTAATTACAGAACAGTTCAAACTTTCTTGATACCAAGTCCTAACATATAACAATTTATTGAAGGTTAGTAATGACAATTCATGAAATCTGTTTTATTTTAGACGTGATAATAAAAAATACAGATCATATAAATCAATAATTGATTTACGAAGATCTTTAGGGTGTCTACCTGTCATGTGTTTACAATACATAGGTCAGACAGGTAAGTGTTATTAGGAGGGCTGTGAGGACGATCTACCTGATGTCAGCTCGTGCTCTCCTAACACGAACTATCCGTTTTCTGTACCTGTCACGTCAGCCCAGACGGACGAGTTAGACATTTTATTGTTTTAACCCAATCAGACATAACCAAAGGGAACCACCCTAAAACTCACACGCTTCTGTACGATCTGATTTTATGATAACCCTGGGGGAACCTTCCTGGTGTGTGACTAGACACGACATTTGGACACAAATTGTGTTTTCTAAAGCACAGAAAGATTGTCTCGTCTGTTTTTAAAATTTTGTTTATCCTTAAGATATCAAGTAATAATGAAAGTAAACAATTCAATTAATTTTGTTCATAGATGCTGACTATATGAAAATCAATTTAACAGTCTTCGATTAAATAGATAAATAAATAAATAAATAAATAAATAAATAAATAAATAAATAAATAAATAAATAAATAAATAAATAAATAAATAAATCTGGTTGGAAATATATATGAAAACAAGTTACTTTTAGCAAAATATTATGATATATATATATAAATAAAGACTTTGTGAATAAAACATTCTAGTCAACACATTGTTTTCTAATTTCATTTATGTATGTTTGAATTTTATGTTCATTTATTTTTTGTTTTGTTTTGTAATTTTATTTTCAATGTTTAAATTAAAATTAATTAAATTCCATTCATTAATGAATATTTAACTTCAATTATTAAGTAGCTATTGTATGGGAGTATGTTTCTAATTGAGCATGGTGATTCTAACTATGAGTGGAGATATTCACTAATCAGAAAGACCATATGTTACTTGTAATTATCGAGCATACTGTACACTAATGATAACAAACTTTCTGTCTGCTAAAATAACAAAAAATCAGATTGAGGGGCTAAGCGGCTTATATTTGTCTTAACTTGTTGTATTAGCGGTGAGGGACTTGGACCAGTCAGGACGTCAGCGGTGTCAATCCTCACACCTGTGTCCACCTTAATGGCGGACACTGGTCATCTCGTCACTTTATCACACGTTAATACGTTTGATCCTCTCCATACCATACTATGAGTTTTAATATGTCACATGTTTTATCTTATGTACTCTTCATCAAACGGTCTAATCAGAGACGTACGTCTCTGGTCTAATTAAACAACTTTTTGAATAATCTATTGCTGACCAGAGACAAACTGCAATAAAAACCAAAACAATTATAATCTTATGATGGTTTTATTTCAACGCAGTTAAAATGTAAAATATATATATACAAAATGAGGAATATATAAGTTATCGGCACTGGGTTTAAATTCTACCGATTATGTGTAAGTCAAATCATTCAGGAAATAAAAGACACGAAAATAAAAAACTAAATAGATTTGAATGAAATTATATAAAATAGTTAAAATGGCGTGTCCGCAGTCTTAGATATAGAACTATAACTCCATGACATGTCTAAAAAATAGAAACAAAGATTTATTTCAGTGAATTATCATCATATCTAATAGATGACATTTGTATTTTATTTTGTAAGATTTTTTTCTTACTTGATATTAGGATGTATTTGTGAGGCTACTTACTAAAATTTACAATATCTACTTGTATTTGACCTGGTGACACTTAAAACAAGCTCCCCTATCTCCACAGTTCCCTCCTAGACTTCAGCATTTTAGGTCTCTTTAGCATTGCTAATCTTTCTTTGCAGTTCGAAACAGTTGTATGGTGCAGTTTTATCAATTATTGGTCTAGAAGAATTCAATGTTTAATTAAAAAAGTGTCATTCACTTGTTCATCTGTAGCACAATCCTATTTCAAACGGTTGTTCCTGATTAATTTTTGTTAATTTATTGTTTTGCATTTTGTTTATATTTTCTATTATACATTATATAAATAATCAGAAATATTTCAATATTGTTTTTTATTTGTGAAACCGATTTTAAATTACGATCTAAACTGACAGTACCCTGATAACAGAGTTATCACAAATTATCTGTACAATATTAAATATACAATATAATTGATCTTTTCTCCATCAATATTTATCTTTGAGACATAAACCTTTATTACCGATAGGTATATTCTCCTTTGATATCTATAAATAATTGATCTATCTCCCTCTAAGGACGGTAAATCATGATATGATTTGTCGGTTTAGACTTAACAGATAATCTTTTTAATCGATTTTCAGACACGTTTGGTCAATATGATGACGTAATGTCCTTATTGCCAAGTAGAAGCGTAAAGCAAGCCGACACATGATTCAGATGTTACGACTTGTAGCCCCTTAGGGGAACGTTCGGTCCCTTTTTGTGGTCATGATAGGATACAGTTTAAACCCGGGGGCACGGATAAGCACATAAAAAACAACGTTTAGGTATAAATTACTCTCTCGCGTCTTCAATCTTAATCTGAATAGGTCCGATTGATGAAGTACTCAAATCATGCGTTGAGCTGCATGCAGGTGTATATTCAAGACAGGTAAACAAATAAAGGTGTAACAATAAGGGCTTTTAGAGACCCCAGATGGGTTTGTTGTCACAGGTATTACCCGACCCCTTTTTGTCGAGCCTTTTATCTTCCGACCAGTGTCGATATCAAAATAAAACGAGCATTACTGAAGAAATTGACATCAAGGTGTTACGTAATGTAACCGAAGAATGACGGCTCGGGTGTGAAATGTGACGTCATGACAAGATTCCGAAGTTAATGTTATGGTGTCGCGTATGTTTAACAGTCTAAACCGTATTAGGCTACATACATATTTGCTTTGTAACTCTCAGAACCGTTTGATAAAAGATTCCGT